CGTATATTTTTTGGCAGGAAAGCGATTTCGAAAACCGGATAAAATAGGAAGCTGAAATTTCAGAGAGATGTTCTATGCCCTTGTGTGAGCTAAAGATTTCAAATTCAGCTTTGACGCACGTCCGCATCACGTGCGCAGATGTTTCAAAATCGGGATTTCGTTATCACTGGTGAAATGCCAATTCGAAACTGAGCTGAATTGAGCGCTCTAGCTTTACAGGAATACTTGTTTCCACATATGGGCATGCAAGCAAAAAATGGGCTTTGGTGTAATTCTGAATCGCGTGTCGGATGCTTCAAAAATTATACGCAGCGAAAAGAAATTTCGCCAACCGTTCATGCTAGACACACACACGTAAACACATCACGTGCATACACACACAGAAGATAAACAATTCTTTGCAGAAGTTGAGGATTGAGGAAAAATTCCGATTTACCTGTTGATTCTGAACTGCCAGTAAGTCTGTGAACTGAGCGGAACCCATCTCAGTGACTTCTGATCACAGTTTTCGGAATCAAATCCTCCGAAAGTAATTATTCCACCGTAGCCTCCCGACACTGGTTCCACGTTGCTGCAAAAGGGAATTCAGCGTAATGACAAAGACAAGCGATCCCTTTGAGATTTAAAGTTTTTCCTTTATTTTTTTAATTCGCTCTTCCACTTTCTATGTGATAATTAATAGATATGTTTGTTAACGTGGTATTTTGTTACTTCACTATTTTCTTCAAGATCATCCAATCATGCCTCTGTACCGGCATAAATTTCGGTCTTTTAGTTCTGTGTTCTTTACAGCATAAAAAATAGCCACACTGTGATCAGCTGTCATAAAATTATTCAATGATAGTTTTATTACATTTCAAATATTTTATCTCACCGAGCCCATGAAGTTCCGTAGTCAAATCAGTGGCGACGCGCATCGGGCGGACCCGTGCGATTATGCGTTTTTTTTTTTCGTGCTGTAGTAAGATTGTTCGAAGTCCCAGTATCTAAAATTTGTGGCATACTGATCCTCAAAGTTCAGAAAGTTAATTGTGCAGTTGTGCGGTACTTGGTCAGGGAACATCCCTCCCAAATTTCAGCTTTCTGTCTTTTCTGGTCCCCAGTTAAGAATTTATTCCCCAAAAATTTTCGCGTGGCCGTTTGTGAGAACTACACATACCTCGCGGCTGAATTTGAAATCTTTAAGGCACGTTTCAAAGCCAAATTTGAAACAGGTCGCGCATTACCATAGTCTTTCGTTGCAAATGTCTTTCAAATGTTTGAACACGCGATACGGTCATAAGCCAAAGCTCATTTTGCTTTTTCGTGCTCACTTTTGAAAAACAGATGTTCTCT